AACCCTAAACCCTAAACCGCAATTCCCAGCCCCAGGGTCAGGTTTCCGTTCCGTGCCCGAGGAACTTCGCAGCCCTAAACGCCCAGACGATGCTTTTGCGGTACGTCCCGCTCAAGCTGTTAATCTTATTGGTATTATTCATTATTGGCATCATTCATGTTCTGATTGCTATCATTATTTTCTCCCTAAGATTTTTGTTATCGAAATTACCAGATTTTCAGATTGTTGTTATTCTTATTATCATTACCATCATCCTTGCTATTGTTAGAACTCTTGGTCTTATTCTTATCATTACTGTTACACACCGCACTGTATACTTAACATCGACAGTTCAAGGACAAACAATGCACAACCAATGCCTGTACTAACCGCAGGCTATACAAAGAACAACACACGTACATATTGGTTTCAAGGCTGAATAGGAAAGAAACTGTTGTGAGAGGCCACGCCGCGAAACACCAAAACTCTTCCATAAGCGTACCAAACACGTCTACTGGGCCCTCACAACAGTCCTTTCTGCACTGTTGTTATACTGTTTACTCTGATTATAGTTATTGTTATTACTGTAGCAGATGTTATTAAAAAATAAGAATGGCAATACCTATTGTTGTTATGGTCATGATGGTGATGATGATGATGACGATGATCGTTAGGGTTTAAATCCCAAAGGCGCCAAGCCCTTCGCCCAGCGGAATTGAAGGATTGCTCACACGACTTGCTGGACGACCCTGTGCTCAGCCGCCTCTGAAAGGAAAAAGCAGGCTTTAGGCTGGCTTAGGGGCTTTGATGAGGGGTTTAGGGTTTGGCACTTGGGGCTCAGGATTTAGGCTTCTTGGTGCGTTTCTACAGGTCGGGTTTGTGTTTTTATCGATGGGTGCTTGGTAAGGGTTTCTGCACTGCTCAGTCTTTATGTTTATACAGTCGGGCGCGGTTGTCCGGTATCCCGTGTGGTGACGTAGTGGAGGTGCTAGAAACACCTACGACCACGGAAGCTTCGACAGACGAGAAGGACTGCCAAATGTGATTTAAGGTGCAGGCTTTCGAGCATTGAGGGCTTCAAGATGATTGGAAAGTGCCTGCGATGTGGGATGCAATTTCAGCGTTTTAGCAAAGCTGCCCGAGCCATCAGCTGTGATATTAAAGTGATATTAACCCGGAGACAGCAATCCACCCGAATGAAAGAACCTTAGCTGTGCCCATTCCGTTTCTGGCAGCTTCAGTGTCTCTCTGCTGTCTTCGCAGAAACAGATGGTGGAGACTGCTGCGACTAATAATACTTGGAAGCTTTCCGGCAGCCTAAGCCGCAAATAGCCTTCTTGAACCTTCTTGAATCGTTTCCACCCCTGCTCGAATCTCCGAAAGGTCGAAGCCCGTAAACTCCTGAACCCCATGCCGCCGAAGATTCCCATGCCATTGGGCCTCAGATGCTCAAGCCCCGAAGCCCACTACCTACGGGAGTTGGTTACGGTTCAGGGCAAGAAAGTGGTGGCAACTACTTGGCACGGCCGGTTATCGTGCGGGAGGCCCCCACATATTGGCGCCCATGAGCCTTGAAGCAGGACCTTCTGGACAAGCGACAGGAGGCGGGCCTGACATTAGCCAATCTAACGGCAAAGCCTGGACCCACAACCCATTTCCTTCAGGGCTGTTTGGACATTTTGATAGTCGCGGACAGACTCCCCTTTGTTCTTTCGCAGTTGTGGTGCTTAGCTCGAAATATTCTTCATTATAAGGACCCCCAAAGCTCTGCCCCAGTTTCAGCAGCTGCGAGTTGAGTAGGAACCAAACCCGAAGCCTTGAGTGGCAAATCATTGGCAAGGAAAGATGGGGCGGCGGATCCCTGCCCTCACACCAAAACCTAACCATGAGGTCCTTCACTAGGTGTCTGAGTAGTTAGTAATCGTACGGAAATGCAGTAAGACATATACCAACGCTCCAATCGAACACGAACACTAAAAACAGAAACGCGGCAAAGCCAGACGGACGGACACAGACGGACAGACCGACCGACCTATCGACCTGCCCAGATTTGTTTTACACGTGTCTTTATTTGTATATGTATATATATATATATATATATACATATACATACACATACATCCATCCATCCATCCATCCATCCATCCATACATACATACATACATACATACATAATACATAGATACATACATACATACGTACATGCATATGTGCATGTACCTATGTATGTCTGTATGTATGTGCTAAAAATCTATGCATGCGTGCATGCACGCACGCACGCACGCA